CGTCGTGTAAGACGTATGTGATTTATTATTTGAAGAAATTAAGCATAAGAGTTATTCGATATTATACTAGCGGTGATGCTTCTATTGCATAATAGAAACGATTCATGCAGCTAGATTACATCCACAGTTGATGGTTCACGTTCTCTTCGTGTTCACCATACAATGTGCTAGATCTATTATCGTTCTTCCGAGATGAGAGTCGAAAGAATGTTCGATCCGACACACACGCTCATACAAATCCTTCGTTCTATACCTTTCCTCTTGATGATTTACGAGAATTATATTCTCTATTATATTCTATTGTATTATATTCTACGAAATCTAATATAACTTTGTTATAACTATTATTTAAAAATAAGACGGAATCTATAGATTTATAGCTCTATTTATCTATGAATCTGTGGACATATATATGTTACATATATATACATGCATGTACACGGAAAAGATGGCGCCGATTTATATTATAGTCCGCTCCATTGTGCAATATATACTCACGTTGTGTCTAATTAAAACATATTTTTCTAAAGATAATATAATTCCGTAAAATACGATAACGTGATTCAAATCTACTGATGCGATCTTCTATGGTAATTTTTATCATGTAAATAAATAAGTTAATAACAAATATATTACGTGATTAATCTTTGATGCTGAAATATCGGTTCTTCTGATAATCATTATTATGAACAAACATTATGTAAGGAAGTTTAAAAACAAATATGAGTAAATGTTCGCGATATTGTATGTAAAGAAGAGATACATTCGTGGGATATGGGATGCTGCAACTCTTCGAGAATCAATATACGGCTCACATAACTGTTAACAGTTTAATATTTAAGTGATCAATTTTTTAATCGTTCTCTCGAAATATTACATAAGTACTTTGATTTGGACTTAATTTTAAAATTGCTCCCCGCTTCAAGAAAATCGGAGGGGGAGAACAATATTGGCTTAAATTTAGAAGCCTCTAGGAGTTATGAAATTCGAAATCAACATGATTAAAAAATTGATCGGGTAGTTGTTGAGATAAACTGTTAACAGTAATGTAAGCCATTCTGTAGATGTAAAAGTTAGAACAAATAGACAAGAAAAATTTTCGTAACAACAAAATATCCATTTGGTTTACATGAAAAAATATCGTTGAAAAAGCATGAGCAAAATATAATATTTTATGTAATACTAACCATACCACAGATGGTTTCTTCTAAATTACATTTCCGCATAGTGAAGAACATTATTGTAATCCGTGCGCGAATGCTGAGGAGACGAATGCGAAAAACATGTAATGTAGAAGATGCCTTTCCTCGTTGGACTGCCGAATGTGCCGTATTTTTTTTTTTTTTAATTTTTATTTGCTAACGTCTTTTCTTTAATCGCACATTTTCACACAGAAATATTTCGCGTCTAATTAAAAACGGTATTATCATAAGAATGGTGCATACACCCCACACACTCTCTCTCTCTTTCGTATTTTCGCTGTTCCCGATCCGACAACGCGAAGACGTCTCGAAGCAAGCAACGTCTCAGAGAGTGTTGCAGCATCTCGCAAGTGCCAATCTTCTTTATATATACCGCGAACATTCACTTACATTTTTGTTGGTTTCTCGCGCCGCGCACCTTAACAGCGAGATTGCAGCGATGCACAATCGGGCATTACATTAGGAAGCTCGTATGGGAACATCAGTCGTTGTCGATTGTAGTCAGTCCTTGTATCGGATGAATGATCGAATTGATAATCATCGTAATCATGTCGATACCTCGTTCGCGTTGTTATTACAATTTTAAACACCCCCAAAATATTCAAATCAAAATATTCGTACGAGATTAAACATAACTGTTTTTTTTTTCATTTAATAGAAATAAAAGAAATTGATGTATCTTCAACCGCTTAAAAAAAAAAAAAAATGTATATATATTGTATATATAATCTCTACGAAACTTCTAAATACATATGAATATTATGTTAAATGATATTTACAAATATCATTGTGTATATAAATGAAATTATTGTCTACAGGAGATCTTTCCAAATAATTGCAAATTAAATATCTTTTATAAATCTACTCTCTACTTTACTCTATTAATATATATTTTTATTTATAATGTAAATTGCGAAGGAAATTAAACAATTTTTCTTTGTTCTAAAAGAAAATTTCTATCTTTTTTTGTATCTCTGTGATTGTATTTGAAAATATTATTCTAAATTAATTACCCTTTTAGTTGTTCAATAATGATGCGTTACTTTCACTTTGTACATGACGAAAATAATAGTTTAGCAATATCTTATAATAGAAGCGGAATCTGCAGTTGGCTATTAGAAATAATAAAAAGCTGTTGCAATGTGTGTTGATATTATTTACAATAGTTAATAATAGTGTCGAATAATTGTTCCAATGGTATAATAAAAAGCTTATATATTAAGATTGATACATCAATCATTTAATAAATAATTAATTTGTACTTTAAAATGCTCTCTTTCTCTCTCTTGTATAATTTAATATTTCGCGTATATATTTGTAATAGTATGCAAAATATTTCAGCATCAAATTATCAATAACATATGGTATTTGGCCTTGATGGCATAAACATTAGCGCGCTATTGTTAACGTGTTATGGCTTACGATTTTGTTATCATTCATACGGCAAACAGTAAAAGTGATGCGAGACGCTCCGCCAAATTCCTTTTCTAAACGCAATCGCGACAAGTATCGGAATAATTTGATTAATAATTAATTATCTTTTACATACTTTAAATAATACTTAATTATATCGCAATGATAAATCTCGAAGCGAGTATTTCGCGTAAAATATTTCGGCAGCAAATTATCAATAACATAGTATTCGGCCTTGGCGGTGTAAACATTAGCGCGTTATTGTTTATGTATTACAAGGCTTACAGCCTTGTTATTGTATCATTTATACGTCGAACAGTGAGCAGTAAAGTAGTGATGCGAGACGCTCCGCCGAATTCCTTTTCTAAACGCGTTCGCGACTAGTATCGCATCATAATTTATTATAATTATTACAATTAACGATTAATTAACTTTTTTGATAAATGATACGAAACTGTATCTCGACGATAAATCTATATCGAAGCGCGATGATTCATTATTGCAAATAAAGATTGAAGCGACTGAGATAATAATTATAATATCATTTTGTTACAATTTTTCGATTATTGGTTTTTATAGACAATAATTATTTATTATCCGAAAAATACATTAATCAGTTTGATCACATATTTTCATTTGCTACTGTATATTCTCGTAATGATATTCGGTAAATGTAGATTAAATTATTATCTTGTAAAAAGAGAATGAGATAAAAATGTGTTTCTCCAAAAGCACGACTTTAAATAAATAATATTTATAAACATTTTCACATAACTGCTCTCTTTGTGATTTCTTTACCAATTTTTATGCAAAAAATTATAACATCATAAAATTTAAAAGACAGAAGTGCTGCATGTCAAAATTTTGATATTTTATTAAAATAGGTTTAAATATTAAATACAAAAGATATATTTTAAATTTTTATGATAACATCATAAAATTTAAAAGACAGAAGTGCTGCATGTCAAAATTTTGATATTTTATTAAAATAGGTTTAAATATTAAAAATATTAAATTCTGACAATGGTCCGGGCAGCGAGAGCCCGTGGCTATTTTCTGCCCGTACTAGGAAAACGTAATTGGTCTCCGGCCTTAAATCTGTCACCTGTTGATGAATAAAGCAGGGAACCCGACTCGTTAGCTCGATAATAAAAAAAAAAAAATGAAAAAATGTATTTAAACAATAAAAGGCAAATAATATAAAAAATAAAATGAAAACTATATTATACACAAATATATGTACGTTTCAGTACATTATTTACTGCTTGTTTATTGGTTACCAAATATTCATTTTTTATATTACGATACTTATCTTTGAAGAGACTAATTTATTCCCTTTTCAGGTTGCTCTCAAAGCGCTATATTGCCCGGCAACAAAGTTCAACGTATACGAGAGATGTCTGTTTGATATAGAATATTAAAGTATCTCTAGAAGTAGATGACCGCTTCTTTGTAGGATTAGGTGCCTCTCGGTCCTCTTATTAAATTGTAGTTCCAGCATACGTGGAACTTTGATATTAAATTTTTAAACACGATACAACGTGAACGCAATTTAGGTTTATAGATCCGTTCTTCAACCCACCGCACGTGGTGTTGCAAACTGTTTTCGTCAGCAGTCCACGCTCTAAACACACTTTCGAAGCGATACACGCGAAGCAAGGAGGGAAACTGAAAATATCTACTTGAAAAGATCGTTGAGACTCTGGAGTGTAAGCACTATAAGGAAAGGAGGTCAAGCGTCGCCGATTCTCGATAAAATACTCACGGTATAGATGTCGTCGAGGACACCCGTGGCTGCCACCACCCAGCCGGTGTTCAGGTTGCTGCTATAGTACTCGATATTGTAGCCGACGATCTTGCTCTGGCCCTCGTGGCCCGGGCTCCACGTCAGGGTGACCGAGTTACTGGTGGCGTTAACTATTCGCGGCTTGCTCGGATTCTGCGGCAGCGCCGACATGTCGGGCGTACGGTGAAAGCTGGCGCCGGAACTCACTGTCAGGTAGGCCGACCACGAGGTGTTGCCGGACCGTCCTGTTTTACCGGCCATAATAATTATATATTTGCTTAATATAAGGGTTTTGCGGTGTGTACGTGCAAACTAGGATACCTCTCCACTCGGAAATGCATGAAGGAATATAAGTGAACGTTTGAAAATGTATTTGAAAGCCTAGTGAGAAACATTTCGGTGTGCAAAATGTTGCATAGTAAAATCTTTTTTATAAAGCTTCTAAACTCACTTCTCGAAGTTCACTAATACTTTTTGATAAAATGCCGAGTGCGGAGTTCACTTGTTAGGCACGTGCAGGTTGCAGGTTTTTTATATTAAGTAAATGTTGACGGCAGAAGCCGATAACAAAACTGTAATTTTTTAATTTTTTTTCACTTTTCATATGAAATCATAAACCCCGCACTCCGTTATTATGTATACTTTAATTATGGAAAAGGATTTGTTGATATCTATAATCAACAAAAATATTTTGCAATCCTACTAATATTCGCATTCTGTCGGTATCCGGCATCCTCTTAAGAGGATCCAAAAGCTCGTCTGTTTTACCGACCATAATAATTAATATTTGCTTAATATAAAAGTTTTGCAGTTTGTATGCGCAAAATAGAATAACTTCGTCTTCGGAATTGCATGAAAGAATATAGGTGAACGTTTAAAAATGTATTTAGAAGCCTAGTAAAAAACATTTCGGTGAAAAAATATTGTTATGACCTGACGCAAGAAGCCGGTAAAAAAACTGTAATTTTTTAGCTTTTCTTCGTTTTTAACATAAACTCGTGAAGTCTCATCTTTGTTTCGATGTGCACTTAAATCGTGGAAAAGGATTTATTATTCTATTCAACTAAAAAAAAGATTTCAATGTGCAAAATAATAATTTTTGGTCGGTAAAACAGACGAGCTTTTGGATCCCCTTAATAACATCTCGTCGGTGTCTGTGGTAATCGCAGTTTTATCTGTGTACATACATAACCTGTGGTGTAACCATGTCACTGGCACGATGACGTTTCATATACAGGATGTCCTAAAATTATTAATTAAACTTTTATCATGAGCATCAATTGTGTATAGTATAGAACAAATTGAAAATAGAGAATAACTATTATTTTTTAATAAATGACGAAAAAATTCTAATTTTTTTCAATCCGGCAATGCAAATAAACGGCATGATCTTTTCTAATTTATTTCAAATATGTCATACAAAATAAATATTTAATTATAATATACAGTAGCATATTTGCCAAGCTATTTAGTTGTTTAGAAATTTGGGAATTTATCAATCCCTAAGTTCATTAATATTCCACTAAATAATGACAATTGACAAGATTTAAAGCGCAAGTGACTTTGTATTTTTTTAAAAACATGTAACACATGATTAATGAAATGTGTTCGTTAATTTCAGAACATCCTGTAGAGCGATAAATACAAGAAACCGGCGTCGCATGAAGAGATTGTGAATTCAAGGGCGTGTACATATCGTAAAATAGTGTTTTTGTTTCTTGCCTTCGCTATGTCACTCCGTTCTTAGCTTCCATCGAGATTCACATTTCCTCTTTGCCTTTTACATAAAAATCATCGTGGGAAAATGGGCCAACGTGTGTCAAGGACGGACTTTGAGTGGGTTTATACGGAAGAGCCGCATGCCTCGAGACGCAAAATAATTCTAGGTATGAGAGAACGATATGGAAAAAGAAAGTAGTTACATATATTAATATGTTATCAATTTAGCGATTATTTCTAGCAAGATTTAAAAACATTGAAGATTACTCAGTATATGTAAGGTGAAATATTTTTCTACATATATATACTTAATTATATATATATACTACGTACTATATATACTACATATATATATAGTTAAATTGCATATAAAATGACTGTATATTAAATAAAGTCAAAGGAAACATACTGCACAAACCGTATCATTTATTATAAGAATTACTTTCTATTTCTTCTAATTACTTATTTTTATAATGAAATAATGTTTTAAATATATATCAATATAATACTGTAAGAGTGATAAAACATTAATTGAATATACATTAATTGAGCTTATCAATGTGTCCTTAATCTACTGTTACATAATGGATGGCGAAATGTATAAAAACGCAAAACGTATAATATTAAATTTAGGATATATTTGGATATCAAAATTAATTAATCTAGTAAATTGTGTGCAATTAAAAAGTTGTTTGCTTAATATAATACATAATATATAATATTATCTATTATTGAAACTATTTATTAATATTTAAAGCTTATTTTGGTATGAGGGGGATACAAAGATTTGATATTAAAAAATTTATTGAAATATGTAACATAAATTAGACACAAACTTGATTAATTGAAAATATATACATTATCTATGAAATAAATACATTAAATAGATTTAAGAAATTCTGTAAATAAATAATTTTATAAATGTGTTATATATTATATGAATATTACAACATTTAAAAGATATTTTATTAATTTTTTTAGATTATATATTTTTAAGTTATTTTATTCAATTAATTTTGAAATGTTTGTTACAAAAATAATGTTTTTTTTTTTATTTTAGAGAAATACCCACAGATTAAAAAATTGTTTGGATCTGATCCAAACTTTAAATGGATTGTAACTGGAATGGTATTAATACAGTTTTTGTCATTTTTCATTGTCAAAGATTTAAGTTATCCAAAACTTTTGCTATTAGCATATTGCTTTGGTGGTGTAATAAATCATTCTCTTATGCTTGGTATGTATATCTCAATTATTAACACAGTAAAGCTGTATTTTATTGTCATGCATATTATGTACTAATATATAATTTCTAATATATTATGCATTGTTTTACAGCGATACATGAAATTTCTCATAATCTTGCCTTTGGACATGCCAGACCTATGGCTAATCGACTGTTTGGCTTTTTTGCAAATTTGCCAATAGGGTTACCGATATCTATTAGTTTTAAAAAATATCATCTTGAGCACCATCGTGTAAGTATTATAAAAATTTATTTTACATAGCAATATGTGTTATATATATTCTCAATCACACATATATATTAATGAAGTATATTTTTGATGTTTAGTATCAGGGAGATGAGAAATTAGATACAGATTTGCCAACGTTATTAGAGGCAAAGTTGTTCAGTACAACCCTTGGGAAGTTCTGTTGGGTATTGTTGCAACCATTTTTCTATGCATTCCGACCTCTTGTAACATATCCAAAGATACCAACTTCTTTGGAATACATCAATTTAGTTATACAATTGACATTTGATGGTTGTGTATGGTACTTTTTTGGTAAGTTTCAGAATTTGCGTATAAATTGAGATAGTAATTTATAAATTATAATTAAAAAGCAAAACATGTGTAATTTTAGGTGGTAAAGTATTGGTTTATTTGCTTATTGGCTCAGTCATGGCAATGGGATTGCATCCTGTGGCAGGACATTTTATATCAGAACATTATATGTATAAAAAAGGTTTTGAGACATATAGTTATTATGGGCCCTTGAATTTCATCACTTTCAATGTCGGATATCACAATGAGCATCATGACTTTCCTGCAGTGCCTGGTTCGAGATTGCCAGAAGTATGCCAAATATTACAATTTTAATATAGTTATTATAATAACAATAATATGTATAGCATATTGTTTCATTTTATTTTAACTATTTTACATAGGTAAAACGTATAGCTGCAGAATTTTACGACAATTTGCCACAGCATAATTCATGGATTTCTGTTTTGTACGATTTCGTGATGGATCCTGAAATTGGGCCATATGCAAGAATGAAAAGAAGGCATCGTGGTTTAGATCAATAGATCTATTAATTTCTCAAATTTTCTATAGGAATGTATTATATATAATCATAAGATTTATATTTACATTATTAATTCTATTACTATGAAAAATTGCATATTTGTGGGGGAATATAATTTAGATACATACTTTATCATTTGAAACAAAACACAAATGACACATGTTGGAAATTACGATGGCATATTTGCCTATGTTATAGATGCAGAAGAGATTAAGTGATATTAATCTATGGTAAATATCTTCTCAATATTCTTATCTTATCAAGTTGTTCATATCTCGTAAGTTTTTGTTTTCTAGAATCTAGTCATGATATCAGCATTTTTTGATTAATTTGGAAAAAATATTTTTTTTCTTAGCACAATGAAGAAAATAAAAAAAGAACATGATTTATTTTCAATTTTTTCTCTATAATTGGCTATCACATTTCTTTCTTCTAATATTCTTATCTTATTAATTGTGATTATTGACATTTTCGACAAAAGCGAGTTTAAATTCGAAAATGATTAATGCTGTGTCTATAGCTCTGCGTCTACAATTTAATATATATATATCCAATTGAGTTTGTATAAAATCAAAATTGAATTGAATTTCTTTCAGAGCAATTTAACCTGTGTCAAAAATGCTATATATTTTACAAAATAGCAAATTTATAATACGAAAGTATACTCTGTATACTTTTATCTCTAATAATTTTTTCATCGATGTAACATTGCCATTAAATACTCAGGTTTTATTCAGAAAAGTGCATATGATAGCATATGTTGTATATTATGAACTTGTATATATATTATTTTAATGAAATGCAAATTGATACAAACTATTTGTCAATAATCATGTTTTCCGAGAAATTTTAGTAAATAGTGAAATTAGATATATATAAAATTGAATTATATCACAAATAATTTTCTGTTCAATTATGATATATATTTAATTATATTAAAAGTTTATATATTCGTTTCCTATATAATAAATTATATGAAGTAAAGAGTTTATATATATATATAAAAAAACAACTTTTTATCGTGTATGTTTTTTTATGTAATGTATTCACAAGATGAGTTTAGGAATATTTATAGAATGCTTAAACCTGATGGAAGCATACATGTGTCAATGGTTACAGCTCATAATGTATTCAAACTGTTTGAATATATGACAGAATATAAATATTTTGCCTTATAGATTTATTATTATTTTAAATATTATATCGTAAGTTTTTCACTGCAAATTGTTTTTTAATTGTTATTTTTATATTACATAGAACATAAAAAAACATTGCATCCTGAGAAAGAATTAAGAGAATTACTTATTCATATTGAATTTAGAATTTACCATTGCAGTACTACAAATTCATGGTATTATGCAATTATCTTCCACATAAGTACTCTTATTCTTAAACATATGTATATTAATCATGAATTAAGTTTATACAGAAAAAAATCGAATTCTTTTTTACTCTAGCATATTATATTGAATATTAATAAATATTACTGTATTAATTCATTTTGAAACTGTTGTCGTTTCCATGTCAAATCAGACATAAGAGTTTCTTCAACAAATGTTACTTGATTTGAACCATTAATCAATAATATAGAATGTGTCCTTGTACCATATTCATTTCCAGAAACAAAGATTGAACTAAGTTCTTCATATGTTGTTGGATAGTTCTTTTGTAATTCAAGATCTGGTAAACATCTGTAATGAAAATTCAGAATATGAGTATTTTAAATAAGTTTGGTATCACACAAATGTATTCATGTATATATTATTCTAATGTGCATATATATGTGTAGCATACTTTGTCCGTGATTTTAGGAAATTAATAAGTTCTTCAATAAGAGTATTTTGTTTTGATACATTTGCATTCTGTACAATACATTTAAATTCTTCTTTTCCTACTTCAACTTTTTTATAAGAATGTTCTATTCCACTGTTCCCAATACCTATAATATCATTATCACACATTTTGGGTCCAGTAGACCTTGCATCGCTGTTTAAACAATACGTATTTGCATTGCTGGAAAAATATTGTATATGGCTTAAATAATGACGACTTGTAATCTATGCATAAGATTTTATATTGTAAAATGTTACGTTGTATTATTGCTAAAGTTAAATAGAAATAAATAAATATTTAGATGTATAATGCCACATATTAATTATTTACTTACTTTAAATCTAGTAAAATCAAACAATAAGAATTGTATGGTTGTCCGTTCATATTTTCTTTGTGTAACTGGTTCAAGTATGTTTCTATAGAATCGCTGGAAGTAATAAAATTCCTTATCAAAGAACCACGACTCTTCTTTGATGAATTATTTTTATTTTCTTCATTAACCAAATTTAAAATAACAGCAGCTTTCCCTTTCATTGACAAAGCTAACCAAGTTCCACCTTCCTTACCAGGTTCCATGTCAATACCTAGCATATTTTATAAGTTTTTTTAAATTAAAAATGTCACAAAAATATTATTTCTTTTTTTTTCATTAAATATGATTTTATCTCTTTGTATTCTAAACTATATAATATTTAAAGAACATTTATAATGTTATTTTTTCAAATAATTCATTAATATTTTTATCATACCTCCTAAACATTCAGGATGTTTTTTCCAATAATGAGCAGATAATGCAGGACGCTTATATGTTTCATCTCGATTCGTTGCAACTATATATATATAAACAACTTTTTATCGTGTATGTTTTTTTATGTAATGTATTCAATTGTATATTTTATATGTTTGTATATACAGGATTTTTTTCGTTTCTAAAATTTTCATTCTAATTGAAGACTTGTCTATGTATTTTATATATCTATGGTCTTGACTAAGTTAAAGCCCAATTGAGGTAAAGATTTCTTTATCCTGATTGGTCAATCAAACGCTTTCAGAACTTACAGCGTCAAGACGAACACACAGGCTGCGTTCCGATATTTACTGCCAGTACTAAAAATCTATAGTATATGTGACTAAACTATACGTTTTCCAGTACTAGCAGTTTATCGAAACCATAGACATAATAGATCTAGACCGAGCGTTTGCCTTTATTTAAGGAGTGGAGGTAAAGATGCACGTAGAAAAGGACATACTCTGTTTCGTGCCCCTTGCGTTCTCTCTCGCTCGCACCTAGCATGACGAAAGAGAGCGCTATGCTCTATGCGAGCGAGAGAGAACGCAAGTATTTTATATATCTATGGTCTTGACTAAATTAAAGCCCAATTGAGGTAAATATTTCTTTATCCTGATTGGTCAATCAAACGCTTTCAGAACTTACATAGCGCTCTCTTTCGTCATGCTACGTGCGAGCGAGAGAGAACGCAAGGGGCACGAAACAGAGTATGTCCTTTTCTACGTGCACCTCGGCTCCCACTCCTTAAATAAAGGCAAACGCTCGGTCTAGATATACTATGGCCGGTATTCATAGTCCGTTCTTATATTCAAGATCGTCTTAAGTACGATCTTAAGATACTATGCGGCCATTTCATTGGTTGAATGGGATCTTAAGACGACCCAAGACCACACTTAAGACGATCTTGAATGTAAGAATAGACTATAAATACCGGCCATAGTATATCTAGACCGAGCGTTTGCCTTTATTTAAGGAGTGCGGGTAAAGATACACGTAGGCCGGTATTCATAGTCCGTTCTTATATCCAAGATCGTCTTAAGTGTTCCAATAATGAGCAGATAATGCAGGACGCTTATATGTTTCATCTCGATTCGTTGCAACTATCAATCGATAAGATTTAATAGCAGCATTGGGATTGCGATACATAAACAAGATGCACATGACAATTATTTTTGTAGTTAACCGATTTTTGAAGTTGGCACACAATATAACTTTTTAGACGCAATTGGGGTAAAAACATTCAAAGAGCCTTTTATAGTCAAGATTATATGTATTTTGTGCTTTTTTATTTTGTAATGCTGATAACATTATCAGATACCTTGTTCATAAATCAAGATAATGTTATAATTGTTGCATATATATTGTTATGTTCCATTGTCATCAAAATTCTTTATTTATTTATTGCATAACCAATAGCGCGGATCGTGGAAGCTATGCAACCATAGATTATATATTATACTAGACCGCTAATCTAATATGGTGAAATGTGATGCAAGTGCAGCCATTTATATGTGGGCAGAATATGTCATACTGGGGTGCCGCAGAATTCGACTTGTCGTTTTTCTTGATATAAGAGCCTATCAAATGGATTTGCATAATCGCAACACATGCATAAGGAAATTGATTAGTCTATTTCTTTATGCATTTGTTTATGGACCAATTAATTTCTTTATGCATGTGAACGTACAATATAAAGATAAAACAGTGAAAAATATCAGGTGTATATTTTACTATTCTCTTATAATATTTTTATATAAAAATAAAAAATTACGCGTTATTTATGTTATATATATTTCTTTTTTTTACTAAACCTATATATTTTATCCATATAAAAAATGGCTGCTCTTGTATTACCTTCCGCATCGAAGTTAATGATCTAGTATAACATAAAATCATTGAAGTGCAAAATTTTGCACACCGATATGTTTTTTACTAGGCTTCTAAATACATTTTTAAACGTTTACCTATATTCTTTCATGCAATTCCGAAGACGAAGTTATTCTATTTTGCGCATACAAACTGCAAAACTTTTATATTAAGCAAATATTAATTATTATGGTCGGTAAAACAGACGAGCTTTTGGATCCCCTTAATAACATCTCGTCGGTGTCTGTGGTAATCGCAGTTTTATCTGTGTACATACATAACCTGTGGTGTAACCATGTCACTGGCACGATGACGTTTCATATACAGGATGTCCTAAAATTATTAATTAAACTTTTATCATGAGCATCAATTGTGTATAGTATAGAACAAATTGAAAATAGAGAATAACTATTATTTTTTAATAAATGACGAAAAAATTCTAATTTTTTTCAATCCGGCAATGCAAATAAACGGCATGATCTTTTCTAATTTATTTCAAATATGTCATACAAAATAAATATTTAATTATAATATACAGTAGCATATTTGCCAAGCTATTTAGTTGTTTAGAAATTTGGGAATTTATCAATCCCTAAGTTCATTAATATTCCACTAAATAATGACAATTGACAAGATTTAAAGCGCAAGTGACTTTGTATTTTTTTAAAAACATGTAACACATGATTAATGAAATGTGTTCGTTAATTTCAGAACATCCTGTAGAGCGATAAATACAAGAAACCGGCGTCGCATGAAGAGATTGTGAATTCAAGGGCGTGTACATATCGTAAAATAGTGTTTTTGTTTCTTGCCTTCGCTATGTCACTCCGTTCTTAGCTTCCATCGAGATTCACATTTCCTCTTTGCCTTTTACATAAAAATCATCGTGGGAAAATGGGCCAACGTGTGTCAAGGACGGACTTTGAGTGGGTTTATACGGAAGAGCCGCATGCCTCGAGACGCAAAATAATTCTAGGTATGAGAGAACGATATGGAAAAAGAAAGTAGTTACATATATTAATATGTTATCAATTTAGCGATTATTTCTAGCAAGATTTAAAAACATTGAAGATTACTCAGTATATGTAAGGTGAAATATTTTTCTACATATATATACTTAATTATATATATATACTACGTACTATATATACTACATATATATATAGTTAAATTGCATATAAAATGACTGTATATTAAATAAAGTCAAAGGAAACATACTGCACAAACCGTATCATTTATTATAAGAATTACTTTCTATTTCTTCTAATTACTTATTTTTATAATGAAATAATGTTTTAAATATATATCAATATAATACTGTAAGAGTGATAAAACATTAATTGAATATACATTAATTGAGCTTATCAATGTGTCCTTAATCTACTGTTACATAATGGATGGCGAAATGTATAAAAACGCAAAACGTATAATATTAAATTTAGGATATATTTGGATATCAAAATTAATTAATCTAGTAAATTGTGTGCAATTAAAAAGTTGTTTGCTTAATATAATACATAATATATAATATTATCTATTATTGAAACTATTTATTAATATTTAAAGCTTATTTTGGTATGAGGGGGATACAAAGATTTGATATTAAAAAATTTATTGAAATATGTAACATAAATTAGACACAAACTTGATTAATTGAAAATATATACATTATCTATGAAATAAATACATTAAATAGATTTAAGAAATTCTGTAAATAAATAATTTTATAAATGTGTTATATATTATATGAATATTACAACATTTAAAAGATATTTTATTAATTTTTTTAGATTATATATTTTTAAGTTATTTTATTCAATTAATTTTGAAATGTTTGTTACAAAAATAATGTTTTTTTTTTTATTTTAGAGAAATACCCACAGATTAAAAAATTGTTTGGATCTGATCCAAACTTTAAATGGATTGTAACTGGAATGGTATTAATACAGTTTTTGTCATTTTTCATTGTCAAAGATTTAAGTTATCCAAAACTTTTGCTATTAGCATATTGCTTTGGTGGTGTAATAAATCATTCTCTTATGCTTGGTATGTATATCTCAATTATTAACACAGTAAAGCTGTATTTTATTGTCATGCATATTATGTACTAATATATAATTTCTAATATATTATGCATTGTTTTACAGCGATACATGAAATTTCTCATAATCTTGCCTTTGGACATGCCAGACCTATGGCTAATCGACTGTTTGGCTTTTTTGCAAATTTGCCAATAGGGTTACCGATATCTATTAGTTTTAAAAAATATCATCTTGAGCACCATCGTGTAAGTATTATAAAAATTTATTTTACATAGCAATATGTGTTATATATATTCTCAATCACACATATATATTAATGAAGTATATTTTTGATGTTTAGTATCAGGGAGATGAGAAATTAGATACAGATTTGCCAACGTTATTAGAGGCAAAGTTGTTCAGTACAACCCTTGGGAAGTTCTGTTGGGTATTGTTGCAACCATTTTTCTATGCATTCCGACCTCTTGTAACATATCCAAAGATACCAACTTCTTTGGAATACATCAATTTAGTTATACAATTGACATTTGATGGTTGTGTATGGTACTTTTTTGGTAAGTTTCAGAATTTGCGTATAAATTGAGATAGTAATTTATAAATTATTATTAAAAAGCAAAACATGTCGTGCACCTCGGCTCCCACTCCTTAACACTCGGTCTAGATATACTATGTCTATGATCGAAACCAGTTCTGTCCTGTGTCCTGTGGCTGTTGCTGCCAGCTGCCACATGCTAGTCTCTCTGGGTCTCTAGGTATTTTGATATGGTTGGAACACAGATTTGAAGGTTAATTACCTACCTATGGTTATTTTGTATTTTATATTAATAACAATATTTGCAAATATTATAATTCTTATCAACATTAAAACATTGCATTACGTATAATCGTATATATTTAATATTTATCGTCTCAAAAAATTATTCTAGTTGCTTGTTAAATGTATTATACAAACTATCACGTGGAAAGATGAAGAAAAGATTTGATGATAATCTCGCTAGTGATAAGCAGAAATGGTACGAAGAATATCAGAAGACAGAAAAACCTTGCAAACATTCCGTATCGGAAATCGATGTATTGCGTTTGAAAGATGAGGGAAAGAAGTTTTTGGATGCAGAGACTGCCACTTTTCAATTAAAACAATCCAAGTCGCGTGACTCGGAGATGAAGTGGTTGAGAACGGCGTTGCAACAAGGTACTACCTCGGATAAAATAGCAGCCAGTATAGTACTGGTGCAGGATAATCCAAAATATAATTTGGGTCGTCTGACGTCTCTGGTGTCTCAAGTGCGAGGGGCCAAACACAATCAATGCGGCATGGTCATCATGTCTCTGAAGGAACTCTTTCTGGCTGACCTGTTACATCCCAAATTTAAGTTGTTTAAGTTGGAAGAACAAGATCTAGACAAGCTCGATATAGGAAATGGATCAGACTCCATTGTCAAGACAAATGCCTCTAGAAATAGACTATTAGCACATTGGTACTTTGAAGATCAACTTCGCCAGCAATATGAATGTTTTGTATTAAATTTGTCCCTGGTGGCTTCTGATACAGTAGATACAAATCGCGAGAAGGCTATATCTGCAATGACTGATTTGTTGATAGGTAACGCCGAACAGGAACATAAGCTGTTAGAACTGCTGGTAAATAAAATTGGCGACCCACAGAGCAAAGTTGCATCTAAAGCTGTATTTTGTATCAATAAGTTATTATATGAGCATCCAAATATGAAGCTTGTAATTCTGCGTGAAGTCGAGAAGTTGCTGTTTAGAAAAAATGTGGCCCAACGTACTCAATATTATGCTATATGCCTATTGGTGCAATTCGCTTTGGATAAAAACGATGATATAATAGCTGCTACGCTGATAGAAGTGTATTTTGCATTTTTCAAAGCATGTCTGAAGAAAGGAGAACCTGATAGTAGGATGATGGCAGCGATTCTAATGGGTGTTAATAGAGCGTATCCTTTTGCCAAAGTAGACTCGAAAATATTAAACGAACACATTGATTCTGTCTACAAAGTGGTACATCTTGGATCATTCAATGTTTCTCTAAATGCGCTTAATTTGTTGCATCAAGTAAGTACTATGGAATAGTATTTGTTGTAATGAGAGTATTTGACCTTTGAATTTTCAGTTTATATTAAGAAGCATTTATATATTCTTTTAGATTATAGGCAGAGACGAATCTCAAGCAAACAGATTTTATTCAGCTTTTTACAAAAAGTTATTTGATCGACAGATAGGAATAGCGAATAAACGCGCGATATTCCTTAACTTGTTGTATCGAGTTCTTCAGAAAGATCAAAGCATAATACGTTTATATGCTTTTATTAAAAGAATCTTGCAAATTACTTTCTACTTTTCTGCAAATATGGCGTGCGCTATATTGTATATTGTCTCAAAAGTTCTTCAAGGACGCAAAGATCTAAAACATATGTTACTTGAACCACAAAGAATTATTAAAATCGAAAACGATGTATGTGAAATAAACGACAGTCTATCAGATGTAGAGGAGGTTTGTGTAATAGATAAAACTAAAAATGAAGAGAATTCCATTATGTTATCGAATATCACGATTGGCGCAGACAATGCATCGGAAACGAAGTCTGATATAAAGGAGGAAACAGATATAAAAGTTGACATGCAAAATTTAAAAGCATACGATCCTTTCTGCCGTAATCCGCTCTATGCGGGAACAATCAAAGGATTTAATACTGAGCTCGAAGCATTGTCTAGACATTTTCATCCGAGTGTCGCTTTATTTGCAAATCAGATTATTCAAGGTGTGATAAATTTTAAACAAACTTTATATGCAATTTATATTAGATATATGTAATTGTTATTTGTGAATTTCTTTATTTATATAGGAGAACCGATTAAGTACACAGGCGATCCACTAGAGGATCTGACATTGATTCGATTCTTGGATCGATATGTCTTTAAAAATCCAAAGAAGCTGGATGACAAAAAGATGCAGAGAAAAAACGATCCCTTGGCACAACGCGCCGGATACATACCTAAAGGTATACGCTCTTTGCCCGTCGATAGCATGGCGTATCTCAACGAGGCGGAGGAGCGAATACCAGTGGATGAGTTATTCCTCTATCAATATCTAAAGAAGAAAAACGAGATAAAGCAGCATGTTAAACAAAAAGATGATGATAATGAAGACGTAGAAAGCGTTAATAGCGAGGAATTCAATGATATGCTGGATCGTATGGGCAACGGTCAAGATTTTGACGATTTAGACATTGCGGCGAATATCGTATCCAAGAAGAAGAAAAGTAATATTATATTTTTATGTCATATAAAATATGATCTTTTGTCCTTTTAGCTTTTTTAAGAGGAAGCAAAAAATAATATTTTTATTGTTAAGACTTAATAAAAAAGAAAACCAATATATTTCATATTAGAAACTCATTTTAGAAACTAAGTAATATTCTTTATTTTAATTACATTTATAATTTTCAGAAGGCAAAATAGATGAAGATTTTGATGACAATGAGGACGATAATGACGAGGACAGTGATGATCAATCTCAAGATGATGATATTGTCGATAATGATGATATATCGGAAGATCTTGATGAATACAATATCGCAGATGACGAGTTGCAAGATTTAAGCGATATTGATCTTGTAGACATAGATAATGATGAAGATTTGAGCGATATGGAGTTTAACAATTCAGATGATGGAGAGGTTTTAGATGATGAATTAATTCCCGGTTTGAGTAGAAAGTTGTTGGCGAAAAATTCGAAAAGCAAGGAGAAGAAAAAGGGGAGAGGGATCGACAGCGATATATTTGTGTCGGCAGAGAAATTCGCTGAGATGCTGGAAGAACAAAGCAAAACGAGGGGAAAACACGGCAGTAGTAACGCTTTTAACAGCAGCGATGGTGCTAGCGCTAAACAAATAGATTGGGAAATAAAACGGCACCAACGGTTGAAAGGGTCATTTAGTAAAAACAAGCGAAAGTCTGCCCAATTTAACAATAAACAGATTAAAAGATCCAAACGATAAATATATAATAAACACATTTTATAGAGATAACTTCGTTTACATTCAATTTACAATAAACCTTTTTTTCCGTTTACTCTATATTGATATTATGAATAATACAGAACAAGCTGAGGACGACGAACACTTATTCATTATAATTATTTGCATAATAGCACTTTTATCGTTTAAAACTTTTAAATTCAATCTCATGTCTATTACCTCGCTATATATATTATTTCGTGATAGCGTTTATAATATATTCTTTTTTCGTTATTAACGTAAATTGAATTTTTGATATATTCAAGATAATTCAAATAACGAAATGCAATATTTTAATACAAACAATAAGTCTTCTTTGAATAATAATGATATTAAATTATTATTTTTCCAAGCGATTTTTAGTTGTGTGTGTATATGTGAGAAATATTAAACTATAAGTTAAATAAAACTAAATGATCGTCATTTTTAACAATTTTTCTTGACGATATTTTCATTGGAAAACGTGGTCTTCCAATTGGTGTGTTATCCAGATTTATAAATTTAAAACTTATATAAATGGTAAATATGAGATTTTTTTCTTTCAATTCATGTTTCTATATAATATAATGTAATATAGGAAGAATTGCAGAAAATTTAAAAAAAAAAAAAAATGAAAATAGAAAACTATTTTATAATTGGTACTGTCATTATTTATTAATAATACATAAACCTACCTTTGAAGTATTAAAACGATATTTTAAATAATGGTTATATAATTCAATTCCAAATATTATTTATGTGTAACAGACTTATTGTGTGCCTTGAATACATATTCATTAAAAATGTTTTAAAGTTTTTCAAATATGAGTTCAAATTGTTTTTTTCTTGCGCATATCAAATATTAACATAAATGTTAAATACTATCTATACAAATTACCTATTTACCTTCCAAATTTTTAACAGAATTCTCAATTACTCAAGATATGAAAAGATTAATATGCAATGAACATAAAACAGTACAGTGTAGGTAACTATATAATATAGTACTCAGAGTGTAATACACTTTTTACTTTAATATTTTTAAGGAGAATATATTCAAATATAATGAGAAAGAGAAAGAAATTAAAAGAAATCAGAAGGAAAAGTAGGTCTTTCATATAGATAAAAGTTAGCCATTTTGATTGATTAATACATGTACAACAGGACTGTGCTAGCTCGCTTGTAACTCTTTAAAGTTTGTAAAAAAATGTTAAATCTATTTTATTTGCAATGTGTAATGACAATAGATAAATTTGCAAGTTGTTCAGTTATTTTATTTCGCGCAGTTAAAAAACGTCATTAAATGCGATATATCCGAAAGCGAGCGGTATATGTGTATCTGTAAGCTGGACGCTACTCTGGATCAGGTTTGGTAGAGTTTTCTTCGTCATGGGTGGGGCTGTGCCAAGTAAGTCGTTCTTCGTAAAATTTAATCACGATCTGTGGACACTTCTCGTTAGCAATACGTGCAGGCACTAAATCTGCATCATCTGTCCCTTTCCATTTCATCAAAAACATCAGCTCGCCACTGGAATCTGTCGCACCTATGATACGTTCCGGTTCCAAATTTCTGTCAAATCCTATAATACAAAAACACACTTGCAATTACATTGAAGTTCGATAATTGTTCATTTTCATTAAAGTAAACATGTATAATGGCTTCAATATTCTTCAAAAAATGAGAAAAGGAATGGAGAAGGATGGAAAGATAAAAAAAGGTACATATAAAAGCTATACATTTTAAAGAAATTTTCGATGCTTCCCTCCTTTACCTTCCAGCTTCTTTTCTTCCACTACTGGCTTTTTCTTAGCCTGAGTAGGCGTCGGTGTGCTGGTGCTTTTTCGTTTCTTCTGTTCTTTCTCCTCATGACGTTTACCTGATGCCGCTGCTTCCTTCTTTTTCCGTTGCTCTTCAAATTGAGCAATTAAATCTGGACAATCTAAATTTTCTTCAGGTTCCCAAGTGTTTTCATCATTTGAATATCCTTTCCATTTTAGGAAATATTCTACCTGTTATTTAGAGAAAAACATCTATTTAGAATAATGAATCTTAGCAACCAATAGTTAGAAAGTATAGACAGAATTTTACATACCTTTCCTTTCACGACTCTTCTATCTAAAACTTTCTCCACACTGAATTCCTCCTCTCCTTCATTGTCCGTTGGTGGTGCTTCCTTAACTTTGCTCATTATGATTTGTTATATACTATAAATATGAGAACTATATAAGTTTCGTTATTAATTCTTGTCTTTTGTCTAGAAAACCATTTATACAGACATAATAAATAAAAGACGAAACTTATGAATTCGTACAAGTACAAAAGTGATAAATATACAGAAAAATCTCTTCTCTCTCTCTTTTTTTACGAAACAAAGGATTGTTATCAAATTGTAAAAAAAAAGAGGAATTACAAGAAAAAACAAAAAATCAAAATTTGTGTTAACGAATGCAATCGTACATGCTCGCTCGCGATTCTCATAATCTGGAATAATTCACAAGCAAGAAATTCAAATTGACTTCTCCCAAAATCAGAAATAGACTTAGCGTGACTGCGAAATTAACCGCGGACTATCGGCGGTTTGAGTTCAAAATGGCGGAGGCGGCGACGCGTTCACCGGTACTCGTGATTTTATTCCTATCGCGTGATGATAATGCGGTTTATCCGTGTTTATAGCACGTCTATGACAAAGATATCGGGCACTTACCTAGGGCGTTATTACACCGCGTCCAAAATACTCTTTCTCAAGTATTACGGATTGCTGTAGATTACTCCGTACTACTGCGAACACAGCTTTTCGGCTGTTTGTAGTGCGTCACTCGGTCGCAATCTCACGATCCCGCGCGTTGCCGCGAAAAATACAAGGCTAGTTAACTGGTCGGTGCGAAAGTCCCCAGGCTAACTGCAGTTAGGGTTAGTGAGCTCTGAAAGCTTTTCAGCAAGAAACACAATGTCACACGATTGGCTATCAAATGAAAAAAATTTTGGTACTAAAATTCTGTATTCGATAGCCAATTGTATGATAATGTGAATTTTCCATTAACGAGTTAAACTTCGGTTAAAGTAAATTGTGGAACTGGGCCTTAGCATGACTGCGAAATTAACCGCGGACTATCGGCGGTTTGAGTTCAAAATGGCGGAGGCGGCGACGCGTTCACCGGTACTCGTGATTTTATTCCTATCGCGTGATGATAATGCGGTTTATCCGTGTTTATAGCACGTCTATGACAAAGATATCGGGCACTTACCTAGGGCGTTATTACACCGCGTCCAAAATACTCTTTCTCAAGTATTACGGATTGCTGTAGATTACTCCGTACTACTGCGAACACAGCTTTTCGGCTGTTTGTAGTGCGTCACTCGGTCGCAATCTCACGATCCCGCGCGTTGCCGCGAAAAATACAAGGCTAGTTAACTGGTCGGTGCGAAAGTCCCCAGGCTAACTGCAGTTAGGGTTAGTGAGCTCTGAAAGCTTTTCAGCAAGAAACACAATGTCACACGATTGGCTATCAAATGGAAAAAATTTTGGTACTAAAATTCTGTATTCGATAGCCAATTGTATGACATTGTGGCTGGATTTCGTAAAGCGCACATGGAAACGGAAATGTGAAAATTTCGTCATTAATTTCAATGATTGATCAATCGAGACAAAAAAATTTGTTAGCTCACCCGTTTCACATCTGTACTTCCAATTCGCAAATATTTCCTCGTTTGTTTTTTGTAAAACATTCGTCGATTTATATAAAAAATAACAATAGTAATTCTTTAATTGGTGACTGTTGATATTTATTTTGGTATACGAAATTTACTTCTCGCATGTTACAATAATGCTATGATTTTTATAAACAGTATAAAAGATCATTATATATAAAAGAAGTAAAATCAAATCACAGTAATCAGAATAATTCGTGGGATCATATATGGAAAATTGATAGTAATTATTTTTTTATTACCGTTTTAATATCTTATTAGCATGTTATGCGGCTAGTAAAATATTTTATAATTACATTATTGCAATTAATATTATATAGAAGGATATAGCAGTGTATTTATAGATTTTTAGATTTAATAAAAATATTTTTATATTAATTTAATATTTCGTTTTCTTTAAGGATTAAATATAAATAAGAAGAATTAAAGATAGTGTAATTTGTATTTGTGTATTTTTATTTTTATAATTTATATTTTTAATTTATGACAAATGAATAAATAAAATATATATACATTTCGAATGTGCACAACTCGTGTTTGCGAAAGGATCATAAAGAATTTGCTATTTCTAACCAAAATCAGAATTTCATACTTCTACTTCCAATTCCCAAATTTTTTTTTTTCAAAAAGAAATGATAGTAATTCTTTAATTAGTGACGATCGATTTATCTTGGAGTGTGAAATTTACTTTCAGCATATGTTACAAAATATCATATATATTTGTTCCTGTTTGAACATTCGTTTAGGAGGAATTAGAAAAAATATCGTGTGTGTGTGGTTCATTGTTATTTAATTGTATTATATATTTTTATCGATAAATGAAATATTTTTATGTGAATTACGAGATCTATCTCATACCGAAAACATTATTTACATATATCACAGCAAAATTATCGAAAAATCTAGTTGTAGTTGACTTGGTGCAAAGTTAACTTGTAATTAGATAAAATGTTATGTTCAGATAGCAAATGTATGTCGAAATTATATATACAATCTAATTTTTTATGACACATATTGCATATATATCTAAGTGAAATACAAGATAACAAGCTGTCCATGAACTGCAAAACTTGGGTGCAGATATAGAATGGATCGATTCCATATGTAATCGCAATTCGACGTAGTAAGTAAATTTAGCTTTTCTGCAATAAGGACATTGAAATTGTATCGGTATTGTTTTTTCTATTGTTGGTATATTATTTATACTCTGCGATACTACAAAAAAAGTTTTTTTTTTTAATTTGTGTTACTTTAGACAGATAGTATATTTATATGTTATAATCAAGTTTGTACAATTTATTAAAAAAAAAAAAATTAGATGCTGAACTTTGAACTATAATTTATAAAATTTTTATATGACACTTTAAACTTTAAATATGTTTTAAATTTTTGTAAACGTTTGTTTAGAAACACTAAAAGATCAATTTTTTTTATTTATGCCATTTTAGATAAATGATATATTATATGTTATAACTATAAGAGTCCGCGCATATAACTCGTACAGAAAAAGAATTTAAATGCAGGAATCTGAGCTCTCTGAACTATAATTTAAAACTATTAAACTTATAATTTTTATATGACATTTAAAGCGTTAATCTTGGAATATTGATACGGGGTGCTAAAAACAAAATGTATAGGATTTCTATTTTATGATATAAAGTGTATAGAAATGAAAGCAAAACATGTAGTAGACCATTTTTTAGACTTCAACGTGATGATCTGACATGATAATTATCTGTCTTTAGACTATACGCGGCTCTGAAAAAAGTCTTCTGACATAAAAAAAAATCTCTCCTAATTCCGAAAGAAGTGAGTTTTAAATTTATGTTTAATAGAAATTTTTTATTTAGCTTGATGAGAGTACTATCTACCATATAAATCTTGTACACATAATTTGTTTTTAACATCTTACATATACATTTCAATTTTTTATGACTAAATTTCTGCAGAGAAGTATTATTTTGTTGTATACTTTTTTTAATACTCTCATACTAGCTAAAAATCACTTTTATTTTCTTAAAGAATTTGTAAATGCCAATATATACATATATGAATTATAAGATTAAAATAATATAAAATAAAGATGTTAAATATATGATTTTCTTACTTTTAAGGCTTATTTCTTTGTAAGGTGTATTAAATTAATAACTTTTGTCACTATTGTTGTCACTTATCACTTTTAACTTCTAACTTCTAACTCCTAGCAACTACCAGCACTTGCTGCATGGCAATTCAATATATAAATAATAAAATTCTACTTATAATAAATAAATCCGTTTGTAGATATTTAGACTGGGCGTCTTGGTCGAAAGTTTTAAAACTAAATAGTTTTTTCCAAAATTTTATACTACACGGAGAAAATTTTATATTAAATATTACTATAATGTCGCAGTAGCTGCGGACCATCAAGGAATTATAAGTTTAAATGTTATGGTCATTATTTTAAAAACAATAAAGCAACACAATTTTTACACTTTCTTATAGTAAAAACGTTTATGTTATAAAGCAAAAACTTACTGTATAAAAGTTAGTATTCCAAAGAAAATAAATATCGAGTAAATTTTTACTGCATACCATAATAAAAATTAACTTTTCCTACTTTAAAATATGACTTGAGCGCCGGTTTCACAAAAATTATTTTATCTATGTGATAAAAAGCAGTATTGTCATAATAGAAGTTACGTCGAAATCATATACATTTCAAATTCGGTAACTTATAAAAGGTAAAAGGTAAAAGGGAAAAGCAATAGGAGTTCTTGTATACACTTGTAACGGCCGCATGTTCGACTCAAAATTTCCTTCACCGTTTCGCTGTAGTTTCATTATAGAAGTACTGTGAATTAAACAAGTACTGTGAAGAAAGTTAAAGAAAAAGAAATAAATATTCGATAAGTAAATATTCGATTTACGATCTTTATCATTTATTATGTATTTATATTTTTCTATCTGATTTATTATTTTTAAATGTGATGTATCTCATCTATTTATAATTAATATATCTGAGTTGCTGTCAAATTAATTGATAAATTATATGGAAAAAGATATAAAATAGTTTAACAATACTATACACTTTTCTCCTTTTCTATCTCTTCTATCTTATTATCAGTCTTATTGTTTTGATCAAACTTGAAAATAATTTTGTGAAATGATAAAATGATTGTATGAAATGATAAAATAACTTTTAGAAAAAATACAATCATGTAATTATTGGCAGGTACTTATATAATTAGTTCTTATATTAACATCATTTTCAAACGACTTTAAGATGTTAATGTAATTTTTTTATTTGTTAATGATATCTTAAGACTATATTTAAGATATCTTGAATTTAAGATTCAATAAATACCAGTCTCGTGGCTATTTCTTTCTTTTAAATTAAATTATTGCGTTTCTATTATAATATAGATGTGTTAATGAATAAATATCGACGTTTAAATGTGGAAATGATAACAATAAGAAAAAAATATCTGAATTTATATTGTTGTTCAAATTGTAAAAATTGAGGTTTAGCATTATAACATTTTATAATGATACACAGATAAAGATTATAATTATAACTTTGCACCTATAAATTTTTACTATGGCAAATGATAAAATATATTAGATGAGTATTAGTTTTAAATTTTACTATATTATACTATAATTTATTCTATAAAGTCATGGTCCATCGATAATACAAAAAATAGTAAAATGTAATTTAAAATTATATTATAAATTAATATAAAATTTTCTCCGTATAGAAATGCGGATGCAAAAAAAATTGGTTTTGCATCTTTATACGCTTTTATCTGATGTTCTGTGTGCTATTATTTTGTTGCAATTGTAATCAATTAATTATGATTACCGTTAATCATTGAATTTCATTTTAACTAAAATGAGCGACGGCGACCAAGTTTAAGTGAAAAAGCAAAACTAGCCTCATGTATTTGATAATGATTCAGCAGACTCAACAGTTAAGTAGCAATCGAACGTGATTGGGTCTTACTTTTAAAATTAGTAAATCAACGTCGAGTATTGATAAGATGATGCTCAATGAGAGCATCAATATGCAATGACAATATGTGTAATGTGCAAAGGCTATCGGTAAAGTAAATATATGAAAGTCTTAATGTATTATGTTTACATTATTGCAAATGCTAAATGCATAAGTATCAGTAAATATATAAAAGAATTTATCGCATTGCGAATGTTAGTAGCATAAGAGTTCCATATAAGAATGTATCGAAGAGTTTGATACAAGAGTTTAGTACGAGAGTTCGTCACTGTAAGTGAATTTTTTTCAGAAGTAAAATTGTTCTCTTTGCGTATATTGATACAGATATTGATATATCGATTTTCAGAAGGACTGATTTTAAATAAAAACGTTAGTTATATAAATATTTTTAATCTTGGATTAATTTTTCACATGATTGCGCAATTGTTTTTACTTTCTTAGACAAATAAAATCTTATCAAAATGACATTGGGTGCTTTCCATTTAGTGACTCAAGTCGACACAAGTATCATTCTATCTTTTTTCAATACCAGTGAACAACAAAGATAAAATGATGCTTGTGTCGACTTGAGTTACTAAATGGAAAGCACCCATTGCTGAACTATCTGGGGCTTAAGATATGCCACTTTACTCTGATTATAAATACGCTCTTCAATAAAAAAAAAAACTATGAATATAGACTTTCAATTGTCGGTTTGTGAAAATTTGTCTTATTGGCACATGTAATTGTGACGTGAGATTGTGTTTGACAAGATTTGTGATTCATTTTTCAATTATAATAAATGAGTTCATCATATTAGTTATATTTTTTTAAACTGTTAATTATAAAAATATATAATTAATTAATTTTATTTTGTTTACGATTAACATATTTAGGATATCAAGGTAATGATCAGTATTGTAAAGACGTGATTCGATGATTTCAGAATCAGAAGAACAGGATACTGAAGAAGATTGAGTTTAATTAGACGGTTTATCACGTTAAGGAACGATGTTTATTATTATATTGCTATTATCTATTCTTATTTTATTTCTGTATCATTATTATGTACATTATGGAAGAATTGGACGACTCATTAATCTTATACCAGGACCACCGTGCTCTCTGATTTCTGGCCATGCATTAATATTCCTTGTTTCATCAGGCAAGTACAAATTTTTAATGTATTTGCATTAATTGGCGTACGATCTGTCATTTATGTATAAAAGCAAAAATTAAATTTGTAAATTCTCTGCTATGAAATGTATATCTATCAATATTATTGCGTACTGATTGCTAATAATTATTTAAGTTTATCAGTATTTTTCTTCGCAATAATATTCATTTTTTTAAATTAATTATTATTAGTCTGTTTTGTATGTTTGAATAACGGTATAATAACATTGAAAAATAATGATAAAATTTTTTAATTACACCAAATTTTTTTCTCCATATTTATCCATATTTATAATATACTTTTTTCCGTATGTATGTATTCATATTTTTAATATACTTATATGTTTTTCAGAGAAACTATTGAAATTGTTTAATTCCATACTTGATAAGTACTATCCCATTGTAAGATTATGGTATTTCTTCAGGCCCTTTGTATCTATTCGTCATCCAGATGATATGGAGGTAATAAAATATATAAGAAATTTAATTTTTTGTAGAAATTATGATTTAGCTAGATTTAGAAACCTTGTGTGTAACGCAAGAACATTTTGATCGAGAGCTTGTAAAAAATTGTTCCTTAAAAAGATGAGAAGAGAAAGTATGTGGAAGATAATAATTTGAGATTTTTATTAGATTCTTTGTGTATTTGAGATTATAATATGCTATAATAAACTGATATTTCACGCTTAATATCTATTATCCCTCTTAATTTTTCGTGATTTCAGACGATACTAAGCAGCACCAAGCACATCGAGAAAAGTAGTATGTATCTCATATTACATCCTTGGTTCGGAACAGGTCTCCTCACTAGCACAGGTAATGTAACAACTATACATATATAAATGCATATATTATACATATATAAATACATATATTTTTTATTATTACAGCCTGTTACTAGCCTATTTTAATTACAGAAACAAATAAAAGTAGAGAAACAAATAAAATTTTTGATATAAAAAGAAATAGAAATAAATTTGAAATGATTAATATTATTGAAATGATTAATATTATTGAAAGATTATTCAATTTGATATCAAATTGGGAAAATTGCAAAAGAGTATTTTTATATAATATATTATTTTTATTTTATATCGCACGATTATTGGTGTTATCTTGTTTTTTTAAGGTGCCAAATGGCAATTGCGACGGAAGATATTAACACCTGCATTTCATTTCCATATATTGAATCAGTTTGTTGATATCTTGATCAAAGAGAGCGATCACATGATAAAGTCTATAAAGGATGAAGAAGGAATAATTGTAAAAGATTTAATACCATTTATTAGTAAACATACGTTGAATGCGATATGCGGTAAGATTTCTATGTTCTATAAGAATCTTATTGTTCTCTGTTTGCAATTATGTATTTTGTTTTGTTGAGCATTTTGTTTTAAGTGATCATAGCTTAAGAGAAAAAGAGAATTTGTCACTGTATATATATAATATCAATGCTGAGACAAAGATAATATTCGATTTTTATATTCTAGTATTTTTCGGCTGTGTGATTTTGATCTTACATAACAAATGCACTTGTAGAAACTGCCATGGGTATCTCTCTGCACGATCTTGGCGCGTTCCAGCAAAAGTATCAAAAGGCGGTTCACGAGATAATCGATCTTTTTATTTATAGGTAATTTACGGATATAAACAGATATTACGGATAAAGTAAATGATTGTCAAAGAATCTACGATTCTTTATGATTGTGATGTAGCAATATCCTTTAAGAAATAGATCAATTATCGAATAGTCCGTGAAGATTTAAAAACAAATAATAAGACAAAACACTCTAAACAATTAGTAAGATGTCGATGTTTAAGCTGGCAATTAGCAATCAAAACATATTGCATGTGCTCAATTAAATATTTTGTTTCAAAATAAAAATTGTTTGCAGCTTTTATAATGTTGAAAATATTAAAAATATTAAAATATTAAAAAATTTGAGTAAATAAAGATGAGATAAGTTATCTGGAGATAAGTTATCTTTAATCAAAGAATCTCTAACTATAAAAAAGTACAAAGTTCTCAGAAAATTCTGTTCTCAGAAATCTTCAGAAAATATCTTCTTGACATATATAGTTTTAAGTATTACTATATATTCTCTTTATATGATTACTTAAAATTTGCTTTAAAATTTTACGATGACTTTAAATAAGTATTTTACAAAATTACATTATTATTGAAATTATGCACATGCCTTATTTAATTATGATTTAGATTAATAAGGATTTGGCTCTATAACGATGTGTTATTCGCTTTGTCGCCATCGGGAAGAAGACAAAGAAAGATCCTTAAGATATTGCATGGATTTACGGAAAAAGTGCGTTATAAATCATGTTACTTAACATTCTTCTATTCTTTTCTTTATATGAAATTACAATAGATTTTATAATCTTCGTATAGCAAGATTATGTACTTATATCATGAGTATTAATCACATATTGGTAGAATATAATGTTATTTAATACAAATCATAAAAAAATTTAATATTGTACTCATGTAGATCATTGCGGAAAGGAAATCTTACCACGAAAACACCAATGGTCGATACTTGAAAAATCTTGAAAGTGACAAAAAAGCGGAGATGGATGATGTAGAAGTGTTCGGAAGTATGTAAGACGATAAAAGGTTCTAATTTAAGTTTGATCGCGCAATACAATATTATAAATGCAATATATTATAAATCATATTTACAGTATTTATATTAAACACATATATCATATGTAATCATAAGTGTATAAATATAATGAACATATGTCTGTCGTCAAATTAAATCATTATTTGTAATGAATTTTAAATGAGAACGATACTATTTAATTAAAACACGATATGCGAAATGACGCTAATATGTTCATGCTTATTTATTTGTAGTTAAAAAAAAACGGCTGGCCATGTTGGACCTCTTAATAGCAAAGTCTCGAGAAGGACTTTTGACTGATTTGGATATCAGAGAGGAAGTCGATACTTTTATGTTCGAAGTATGTATTTGTAATTTCTAACTAATTTTCTATTTACATATTATTTAAGCACGTATAACGATATATGTAACGTGATTACAGGGTCACGATACTACAGCGATGGGTATAACGTTTGCTTTATTATTATTAGCTGAACACAAAGATATCCAGGTAACTCTTTTATCGATATACATCATTGTGATTTTTATTTAAATTAATATAGATATCTAGCGCTTTTGTTGTGATGTAGTTCCAATATACATGTATAGATGTATACCAGAATATATATTTCGAACAAATTAAAAAATTAAAATATTTTTAAAATAAATATAAAGAATTCATTAAAATTTATTAATGATTTATTTCTATCTAGGCTTAAAAATCAAAATATTATAAATATATACTAATTATTATCGTTGATGCAGGAACGTGTGAGGACTGAAGTCAATACCGTGATGCAAGAGAACGAAGGAAAATTTACTATAAGATCACTGCAAAATTTATTATATTTAGATAGATGTTTAAAGGAAGCGCTACGTTTATATCCCAGCGTGTTTTTTATATCACGATGTGCTGCGGAGGATGTAAAACTACGTGAGTAATTAATTACTTTTTTTACATAATATATATAAATATTTTGCTTTAATATTTATATATTTTAAAATATTAAAGTATTTAATTTTTTCAAAGAATTCTTATTTTTGTATTACATTTAATTTTATACCGTTTTCAGAGTCATATGTAGTACCTGCTGGGACAATCATACATCTTAATATCTATGGAGTTCACAGAGATCCTAATTTTTGGCCAAATCCAGAAGTATTCGATCCGGATAGATTTTTGCCCGAAAGGGTCCTGAATCGCCATCCGTATTGCTATCTACCATTCAGCGCAGGACCGCGGAATTGCATAGGTAAATTGTTGACGATTTTCATTTCTGTCATGTCAATAGTTTCCGATACACTTCTAATTGCAGGTCAACGGTTCGGTCTGTTGGAGATGAAAGCTATAATAGCTCCTCTGGTGCACAATTTTTATTTGGAACCTGTTGATTATTTAAAAGATCTTCGAATAAGAGCCGATATAATACTTCGTCCTTCTCATCCGGTTCGTGTGAGATTTGTTCCGATCAAATGCTAACAATTGTTTGAAACAGATACTATAAGAATGTAAAAAATTAATATATTGCAAAAATGAAAGAAAATATTATTACGTAAATATTATGTTTAATCATGAAAATATACACACAAAATGTCTTATAAGTCAGAGTCACAAGTCCTTATGTGCTCAAATTCATCAAATTTATTCAATTGCGTAGGATTTTTTATCATTATATGCAATGACAATAAAAACGAAAATATATATAATAATATATGAAACTAATAAAATAATCGTTTTTCTGCATTTCATTCAGCGAAGCGATGTAGGAATAAAAATATTTTACTTGGAAGCAGAAACTTGGATGTGCCTAATATAAGTTTGTTTATAGTAAGAAAATTTCTTGTATTTCTACATGTGTTAGAAGAATGAATATTTGGGTAAACGTATCAATTTCTGTATAAAATTGATTGAACAAAAATACGCGTTTTTATTGATATTAAGTTTCTTTTAATCCATATCTTAAAAAATACGAATGTATAAAATATACCTAAATATCTAGATTTTAACGAGAAAAATAGTTTTTTTGCATTAAATTTTATTGCTTTTAATCATTTTAAGTGTATCATATTTATTGATACATATTTTGCATCTTGAGAAATCATTCATTAAAGAATATATAGATACTTTAGACCTTATGCAGAACCTTAGAATTTCACAGACGCCCGAGCCACAGAACCAAATATTCCAAGTACTCAAAAGCAATCCGCCGTTGATGGCTGCGTTTATCAAGCAACGGGTAACTATTTCTTTAAAAAAAGAAATAAATAAGTGTTTCTATATTATTATGTGTGCATATTTGATTTACTTCCATATAATCTTCTTAATTAGAGAGGGGTGCTTGTTCATTAGAGACCCTCTAATAAGAGTTGCGAAATAACATCTTGTAAGTTAGATCAATGACACCATGTTTTGTCAAACACATGTTTGTTCGCAGGCGAGTAAGCAGAAGCATGCAATATCTGATGAAGATGCTCAGAAGCCTGCAGACGCCCGAGCAACAGAACCAAAGCAACAACAACAGCAGCATCAAGGCAGATACAGGCAATGCTGTTGTAGCAGCCACAACAGCAACAGGCGCAATGGTACAAACATCAGATGCTAGCGATGCAGCTAATGCAGCAAATATAAGAGATTGCAAGAATAAGCTGTTGCATAAGATGTTGCATAAATATAAGAGAATTGATAAAAAATATAGTCTGTAAAATATATTGTAATTTTTAAAAATCTAATAAACTGTATTAAAAATATAAAATGCATATGTCTTCTGATTGAACATACACCTATCCATTTCCACACATCTTGTGCCACACACATCTCTTTCTTAATTATATATTTTGATATATTTTTGCTGATTTTTCGTTCTTGGAATTTCTGAAATTGCATTTCTTAGAATCAAGTATCAGGAAAATATAATTAGCAAAGAAGTGGCACAAACTAGAATTTTAAAAAGCATGAAAATTTATTATATCTTCAAAATTCGCGAAAGTATCAGGAGAACATGATCAGCAAAGAGGTGGCGTATCAGGAGAATATAATCAGCAAATAGATGGCACAAACTAGAATTTTAAAAAGCACGAAAATTTAAAGCTTCAAAATCCGCAAAAGTATCAAGAGAACATAATTAGCAAAGAGGTGACATAAAGCAAAATTTTAAAAAGCGCAAAAATTTGAAGCTTTGAAATCCGCAAAAGTATCAGGAGAACATAATCAGCAAAGAGGTGGCACGAAGTAAAATTACAGAAAGCAGAAAATTTAAAGCTTCAAAATTCGCACAAGTATCAGGAGAACATAATCAGCAAAAGAGGTGGCACGAAGTAAAATTACAGAAAACGGAAAATTTAAAGCTTCGAAATTCGCACAAGTATCAGGAGAACATGATAAGCAAAGAGATCGCACGAAGTAAAATTACAGAAAGCGGAAAATTTAAAGCTTCGAAATTCGCACAAGTATCAGGAGAACATGATAAACAAAGAGATCGCAGAATCGCACAAAGTTAAATTACAGAAAGCGGAAAATTTGAAGCTTCGAAATTCGCACAAGTATCAGGAGAACATGATAAACAAAGAGATCGCAGAATCGCACAAAGTTAAATTACAGAAAGCGGAAAATTTGAAGCTTCGAAATTCGCACAAGTATCAGGAGAACATGATAAGCAAAGAGATCGCAGGATCGCATCAAGTTAAATTACAGAAAGCGGACAATTTGAAGCTTCGAAATCCGCAAAAGTATCAGGAGAACATGATCAGCAAAGAGGTGGTACAGATTAAATGTTTAAAAAGCGCAAAAATTCAAAGCTTCAAAATCCGCAAAAATATTAGGATTTTTTTTTTTTTTTGTTTTGCGAAGGAAGAGAAAAATGCATTATGCATTCCCACCGGCCGGTCCGGTGGGATATGCGGGACTCGCACCCGCTAAAAAACTCTCCCTATAAGGCCAACCTTTGGCCTTCCGCCGATACTTACACAAATTTAAATTCTGAGATATCGGGAACATGATAAGCAAGAGAGATAATACAAATAAAAACTTCAAATTTGAAATTTTGAAAACTCCAACTTTCTTTTCTTTTCTCATGTATAGTATAGTGAAAATTACTATCTAAATATTAATTGTCCTTACAATTCATCTCTCAATTTTCATATGATCGCTACATTCGCTACAACTTCTAAATGCCTAAGGAGAAAAAATCAATTTATATATATATAAATATATATATGGGAATAAGTCCATAATATAATTATATGTCAAAAAAAATAAAATATACATTAAAGTAGTATTTTTTATACAACAATAAATTTATCATATTTATTATTGATTTTAAAAAATAACTCCTTTATTGTTAATCAGAAAAAAACGAATTGTTAAAGATTTTCATTACTTTTTTTAATGCCATTATAAGAAGCTAAAAATACTTTGTTTTTAATATGCAAAAGTTTACAAGAATTACATGATCTTAAAAATAAAAGTTATTAAATTTAGCAAAGTTATTTATTAATTTTTAAAAGAATTAAAAAATTGGTTGCATGGAAATTATGCCGCGTAAATTTGAATTGTAAATTTGACGATAAAAGTAATGGTTGAATTCCTCGTTATCAACAAAATATATCAAATTATGTTAAAAGAAAAAAGAAGTTGTAATGATAACAATGTTATAAAAAACGCCTTACTTCTCAACTCTGATTTATATATATACAAATATTTGTAAGTATTTTATTTTTCACGTTCTGGAAGTGCAAGAAAGTGTAGATAACAAATATACTCGGTCTCAGATTGAACATTTGGTACTGTGGTGCGCTGTTGATTGGCAAAGTTAGGCAAGGTCTTGAAGGCACTTCGAGGATATTATTAAAATAGCATTCGCGAAAATAACAGTACGTATTGAGTAATATCGTATTTTTGCTATTATTGCGCGAACGCTTGGCGAATAAATTTGATGATTTGTGAAATATTTACAGCATAACAATAGGTCGAGATGGCTGCCCGTTCGGTCCTGAGATATTTGAAACCAAAGCTCGTGATGTTCCAGAGCCACCGATCCGCTTCTCTGTCTGGCTTCGACATTCAGCACAGAACTCCCACCATCAAGAAGGTGATGCCCATGCCAAAGGCTCAGTATGGTGGTAGGCATACTGTCACCATGTTACCTGGAGCTGGCATCGGACCAGAGTTAATGTCTTACGTTAAAGAGGTGTGTAAACATTATTCAAAATCTGTAGTTTATTATGTTAGAGATTGAAGGCATAGCATATTGGTTTTCCATCCAGCGAGCTGATATTGAAAATTTATGGCTTATTTATGGATTTATATAAGAGGAATATAAATCTCTCTCGTTTATGAATTTATTTAATAAAATTTGCTGACATTTTGTTTGATTCTTGATAATATAACTATATTATGGACATGATTTTGATATATAAACAAAATTATTAAATCTATTCAAAACACATTATTTTATTTAATTATAATTGCTCTCTCTAGGTTTTTAAATACGCTGGTGTACCAGTAGACTTTGAGGATGTTGATATCAATCCCAATGCAGATGACAATATTGACTTAGCTTATGCAATTACATCGATACGTAGAAACGGAGTGGCATTAAAGGGTAACATAGAAACACACAGTACGGAAGCTGACGTTTTATCACGAAACGTCGCGCTGCGAAACGAGTTAGATCTCTATGTAAATGTTCTGCACTGTGTATCCTATCCGGGCGTCAATTCTCGTCAGAAGAACATCGATATAGTGATTGTCAGGCAGAACACTGAAGGCGAGTATTCCATGCTGGAACACGAGAGCGTCCACGGTGTCGTCGAAAGCATGAAAGTTATCACGAAGTCCAACTCTGAGCGTGTTGCGCGTTACGCGTTTGAGTACGCCAAGAGGAATGGCCGCAAGAAAGTTACGACGGTCCACAAAGCAAACATCATGAAGCTATCCGATGGGCTCTTTTTGGAGATCTCGCGACAGGTCGCCAAGGATTATCCGGACATCATCCACAATGATATGATCATCGACAACTGTTGCATGCAACTCGTTTCGAATCCGCATCAGTTTGACGTCGTGCTGACGACCAATCTGTACGGCGCCATCGTATCGAACGTGGTGTGCGGTCTGTTGGGCGGTGCTGGCCTATTGGCCGGCAAGAATTACGGTGATCATTACACAATCTTTGAGCCGGGAACTCGTAATACCGGCACCAGCATCGCCGGCAAGAATATCGCAAATCCCATTGCGATGCTGAACGCCGCGGTCGATATGCTACGTCATCTGGGTCACAAACATCACGCTTCCATTATACAGAATGCGATCAACAAGACTATTAATCAGAGTGTGCATACCCGAGATCTTGGCGGCACTGCGACGAGTAGGGAAGTCGTCGACAATATATTGAAACACATTAAGATCGCAACTGCTTAAGACTGAAAATTTTTATTCTAACTAGAAATCTCTTGTAGTAGCTGTTCACGGAGAACGGCGAGTTTAAAATAACAAGAATCTTGTGATTTCTCTTTTAGTAAAATATTAATAATATATTAAAGTAGCTCTGACAATTACGATAAAGCGATGTTTCGGCAATATGCAGCAATGAGATTTTGTCCGCAGGCGTTCGAAACTGCAAAATATCTCGTACAAAATTGTTACCAAAAAAATCCTTTTACTTAAATATACTTTGACAGATTACAATTTTCTTGCTATAAATCACAATGCTCTGTAATATAATAATAATATTTGTGTAATAATCGGAATTTTATATAAAATACATAATGTACATTATAAGAATATAATAGTAGTTCCTATGGACAAATTTACCAAATATTGTGACTATTGTTGCTGTGAGAATAACTTGTATGAAAGGCGAAATATTCGTTATATCTTGTCATTAAAATAATACTCGCTCATACTTGAGCGAAAGAGATGTGGTCATAATTTATTAACAACAAGCTGTAGATTCATATGTCGCCTTAGCACAATTTTACCTAGATGAATTAAAATTCTAACACAATGTAAAATTACACTTTATTACTTTAAGGTTATATTGTAAAGTGTATATACATGCCGCGTTCATAAGAATAAAATGTAAATTTACATGTCTAAAGAAATACTTGAAATTAATTCTGTAATAGTTGCAAAGCTAATTCTTCATCAGCCTGTAAATCAATAACATTGGATACTTTCTGTCTTTTCCCTATCTTCTTATACTCCTCTTGTGTCATCAATTTTCTTTTGGATGGCCTGTAAAACAATCAAAAAATTAAAAGTCTTCGAATTTACTCATGATTTACAAATAATGTGCTCTTTTTACCTGTGAACTACACTTTCTTTCTCAGATTCATTTTCTTCCGATTCGTTGACGGACGATACTTCTTCATCTGTATTTCGTTGCTTGCCATATATTTTATCTGGATCAGGTAACCACGAGGTATCAGGACCTTCATCAGATTCATCTTCGTTAACATCATCATTGCCTACATCTATTTCTTCATTAGACGAAGAAGCATCTTTCTCCTCTTCATCATTTGCTTTCATTTTCTTAGCTTTCAGTTTCCTCTTCTCCTCTTTATGCTTTTCTCTAATTTTTTCTCTGAATCTTTTTTTATCGAACTGATCCTCCTCACGCAAGATTTGCTTAGCTATTTCAATATTAATACCAGAATCCACTTCATTTTCATACTGTTGAGCTAATGCTGACATTTTCGTTTTGGTAGAATCAATTAATTCCTGAAATATATATACAAATGTTTTCATTAATATTTTTACTTTTATTTAGAACAGGCTATTTCAATTTGAATGCTTTTAGTCAGTTCTCTTTTAGTTTTTATTAATTTTAATATAAGTGTGTGTAAGTCAATTCTTGATTTTTGTGATAACTTTATAAAATTGCACACAATTCTTACTTGTCCTTCATCATCAAATGTGGTCTTCTTATTAGGTATAATGTTCTTTCTGAGTATCTTTTTGGCCAGTGCAACCTTTGTAACAAGCTTCTTTTTATTTGCAATGTTATCATCCTTCTCTGTTATTGGTATATCAACGATATCTATATTTTTCCTTTTTATAGTTAATATGTCATCATCATCGCTATCGTCTATAAAAAAAATTATATATGACGTTAAATGGTTAAACGCATTTTGTGTGCAACAGAAATAATCATCTTTAGTTTATATAATACAAGATATTTAGACATTCTTTAATTTTCTTACCAAACTGAAGAGAAGCGAGATCTTTCTTTTTAATCTGTTTCTTTTCACTATTTGTAGTATCAGGGATATCACTTGTGTCAGAACTGTCTCCGCTATCTTCCCGCTCACTGCCATCTGCTAAGTTATTTGAAATTTTATTCGTCTCTTCATCTTCAATCTTAATGCTATTATCAACCGACATTTTTTTTTGTATTCTTTGCAAGAATCGGATTCTTGGAGGAATAGCTAAACCTAATGATCTGTGAAAAATCAATCGTGAGAAAATGCTCAACATTATTTATGTGTGTATATATACATGTATTTAACAATTTATGTTTTTAATGCTTACTTGGCGTACGAATCTGTGTCTAAAGCATGCACATTGAAGATCTCTTTATCTTTCATTAGGAAAACTGATTTGATATATGCTATAAAAGCTCTCTGAGCTGTTTCTTTCAATGCTACATCTCGTGCTAATAAAGCTTCAAGCTTACGATGTGGCGACTGCAGTTTGCTTGGATTGATTCTAAATATAAAAATAACGAGTATAATTTTATATTAGAGAAAGCAAAACTCTTATATATATGCATATATAATAGATCTTACTTTATCATATTTATTGGTATTTTACGTTGTTTAAGCTTTTCAATTATCGCCTCTTCGGATGGCAACAAGACTAAGAGAGACTCGCCACCGCTTTGAAATCTGGCAGTTCTGCCTGCTCTATGTATGTAAGCATTGACGTCTTCTGGACAATCCATTTGGAGTACCCAATTTACAGCAGGAAAGTCTAAAAAATTACGATAATACGTTATTTAATTTACTGATAATATAAAACTATAAAAAATTTTTATATTATGTATATACGTTTTGATGTGGCAAAAAATTTCATAGTATAGATTTTAAAAGAGTATTCTTATTAATGTTTTAAGATTTAGATACCTAATCCACGAGATGCAATATCAGTGGCAAATAAGACAGCGTATTGCTTCTTGCAAAATGATTCATAAATACTCATTCTTTTCAGTTGATGAAGCGTGCCATAAAGAGCTAATAAACTGACACCAGGACGTAGTCGACAAAACACTTCGTATATGTATTTCACCTGTAAAATTGATTTTAGATAAGTAAATTATTTCAATTCGGCAATTAATTATTGATATAACAAATAATTACCTGCTTACAGCTAGAAAAGAACACAATAATCTTCTGCTTTAGATGATTTCGTATAAAAGACCATAGCATTGCCATTTTATCTTCTAAGGAACATACAATATAATTTTGTTGTAAATTTTCCGGTGTGGTATGTGCAGAGTATTCGTGCACAGACACATATAATGGATCCTTGAGACTCAACCTTGCTAAATCTTTTACAGATCTAATAGAAATGTAAAATATACTTGATATAATATTCTAAAATAAAATTCTAATTCCATGTAATTATTTTTTAATATATATATACATACTTTGTCTGAGTCGCCGAAAAGAGTAATGATTGTCGTTTAGGTGGCAAATTTTCAATAATACAATTCATAGTCCTTTCAAAACCCATATCTAAGCAACGATCTGCTTCATCTAACACTAATATCTATAATTTATCATATCTTTATTAATTTTTCTTATAATTAGGAACATCATGTTTGGATATGTTATACAGTTTCTTTTTCTTTTTTTCAACAGATTAGCATTCTTAAAATTTTGAAAATTAACAACTATAACTAGATAGTTTAGAAGAATGTTCTCGGTTTTGAATACCACAAAGAATGTTAGCAACCACATGCAATAACCATTGCTCAGAAATAATTAAAAATTTTTCTGTTGCAACCTATTATATAGTTTCTGATTTATTTTGAATTTTCAAAGATAAAAGTTTAAAGAGAAAGACCTTTATTTTATAAATGTATTTATACTTTTTAATATTTCTAATCTATATTTAAATTTTTATTTGAATTTTGTTTAATAATAATAAAATTTAATTGTTATATTTTTAATAAATGTTAAAAAAAAAAGTAAAATTTAAATAACTGCAGAAGTTATAAAGCAACATATTGTTATGCCATATCTAACATAGGTTCTGTTATAAACTATATAGTATGGCATTCTAAAATGAGATTTATAAAGTATAATTCCTAGATTAAGAATGTAAGAATCCTATGCTTAATTAAGAAAGATATTATTTCATTACCTGCATATTTACACAATCGAATAATGGGTTCTCATCCATATGCTGGAGCAAACGTCCCGGTGTACATATAACTATATTGCATTGATTCATACGTTTCTTTTCAAATTTCAAATCCTTTCCTCCTATAATCAGACCAGCTGAAATGTCATGGTACCGACCAACTTTTCGCAGTGTCTCGTATATTTGATACGCCAGTTCTCTTGTTGGTGTAATAATTAGTGCACCTAGACCATCCAATCTTGACCATTGTTTGCAGTATAAAATTTCTAAAACCTACAACAATAACTTATCAATTATATATCATATCAATAACATAGATGTGAGAGATATCGATACAATTCATACTGGGATAAGAAAAGCCAATGTCTTGCCGCTGCCAGTCTTTGCGGCTCCCAAAATATCGTTGCCTTGTAAAGCCAAGCCAATGCTTTGCCTCTGGATGTCCGTCATATCGACGTAATTATTTTCCGTTAAACCCTTCAGAGTAATCCTCGATAAAGGAAGATCGCTGAATTTTGTTATTTTAGTAACGTTTATCTATAATTAGATTGCAATTAGTTTTACATTTTTTACACATTGTTACATCTCGTTACATTTTATACGAGGTTATATACTTACAGTGTTGTACTTGGAGCATAGTTCCTCAATTTTTTTACTCTCCGGTACACGTTTCCTTTTTACATAAGCCTTCACCTTCTTATTTGTCATTTTTATTTATTTTAGTTTTATACTTTTTCAACTTTTGAATCATATAACAGTATCAATCACACTATTTTACTTAGCTTTGTGTGAATACATCAAATCAGAACACATGGCATATTGAACATAAAAAAAAGTAACGCTATAGAGAAGCCTGAGATGTCGACACTTTCATGCCATGTACGGTGGCGCCTTTACATCCATTTATAACACACATAGATAAGATACGAGATACAAATAAATTCATTTTAAATTTAAAAAATGTTTTAAAAGCAAAATTATCATTTTTTTTAAATTAAATTTATTGTTAATCAAAAACTTTAATTTAAACTATAGATAATTTTCACTTCTTTTCTTCAAAAAAAACAAAAGTGTGAAAATATAATTGTCTAATGTAATATTAAATCATGTTTCAAAGAAATAATGTCAGATCTAATATCTGTGTAAAAAAAACATAAAAATCATAAAAAAACAAAATTTTTTAAAATTTATTAGAAGAACTGAAGTAGAAACAGAAAAGAGAGAAAAAACGAAGATGAAAAAAGAGAGAGATGAGAGAGAACCCAAAGAAATTTTTGGATTATCTTAATAATCCCTTATCTTAAAAATTAATTTCATGTTAAATTTTTATCAATGTCCTTCAATTTCTTTCTTTTTTTTATTTTGCAAGCCAGCGATATACTTTCAATAGTATCACTGCTTTAAGAGAATGAAGTGGGTAACCCGAGTAGGGAGATGCATTCTGCGGATGATATGCCGTGTAATATACGAATCAGTGTCAATAGAAGAGAGACACGAAACTATTATTAAAAAGCATAATGTGTGGAATGCGCGCGCGTCATCTTGTAAGCGACAGTTGCATGTACGTACGCACAGTGTGCTTGCATCGCGGCAGCGGAAAATTAAGCTGAAAGAAGAACAGTCGTAATAACTTGGCGAAGGAAAGAGAAAGTAGAAAATTCACAGTCAAATATATATTAACTGTGTTATATTATCTAAAGAATGGGGAAGATTGAGCTGAAAGAAGAGGAATAAAAATAACGAGAAAAGAAAGGAGAAAGCGAGAATAAAGGGGTAGAAAGAGAAACGAGGCCCAGGGCCTCAATGATCGGAATGTAAGCTCATATCGTCATTACAAGGATTTGTAATCGCGGATCTGGCGTCGAGAATCTCTAGTAGTGATTCTGACTTACGAGAGACCGTTGGTTTAATGTGCATTCCGATAATTTAGAAAGATATGTTTTGAAGAGGAGAAGATACTATGCAACCAAAAAACTACGCGAGAAGGCAACAGAGAGTGTTGCGATCTTCGTGGATCGTGCCTCTTGTGTATCTCTTGCTTCCAGGGTCGCTTACATTTGGTTTTCAACTAAAAACAGCGGGTGTCGTGATGAGAGATATGGGTAAGCGAAGTTGATATACAAAACAAATAAATTGATATAAAATCTCTTTTCGATCATCTTAACGATAACTTCTTTAATCAATTTGAAATCAATCCTCTCTCTCTCTCTCTCTCTCTCTTTTCTCCAATAGAAATGTCAAAATACTGATACTCTTTCAATAATTAAACAATTTTTTGCAAATTAAATTTTATATATATAATATTATAATAATATTTAATTACGCGGTAAAATAAATTTTACTGCGAAATAATATGCATATTTATAGTCTGATGTTTCTGTAATGCAAGAAGTCCTGACTAACACTCTTAATTTACTTTTAAACATGATAAAAAAAAAAATTACTTTTTTTATTATCTTATTTTATATAAATCATATTTTAACATAATTAAAAATATTTCTCGATATTATTTTCGATGATCGCACGTTTCGAGGATGTTTCTGGTTTTAGATATTTGAAGAGAATAGGGAAATACAGTATAAGGAAATATAATAGAAAATTCTCTAGTATATTAGAAATAAATATTATAGTAAAAATATAAATAATATCACCTTTAGAGAATTTATATAATAAGAATAAATTAGAGTAAATTTCTGTATTTGTTTAAATTTTATAAGATATTGAATAAATTAGACAATAATCTCAGTTAAATAAATTCTAAAAGTAAGAATTATTGTTATTCATATGCATTAATAATACATCTTGTATTATTAAATCGTTTATTATTTCTAAAAAATTTATGGCTTTTTACATATAATTCCAAAATGATAAGTAACGAATTGTTTTAATATTATTTATATTTATATGAACCACCTTACAATTAGTTTATTATTATATTGTGAAAAAAGAGAAAACTTTGTGCGTTATAATTTTATATTAACACTTGCACAATCCACAATTTAATTAGATAATTTCTAAATAATATGATTATGTAAGGAAAAATAGAATAAAGAGACTCTACATAGAGAAGAAAAATCTCGACAGAGAATATTAAAACGCCATTTTAAAAAATTTTAAAAATATAAAATTTATGAAAAAATTATTGTCTAGTTATTGTGAGGGGGGAAAGATATATATATGATTGGGAAAGTTCTACTTTCTTCTAAATAATGTGATCTCATTGTCGATAGATGCGCTTCTAACTGATCTCTATTGCGTTAATTGAGATGCGTATGTGCGGTATACAAAGTTGCATGTTGCAGTCGAGTTGGAATCTTCTTAAATTGATCCGGACGGTCGCCCCAATGACTTGAATTATGATTGGCGGACCATGGGTTACTAGGTTTTTAGTTGTTCGTTGTGCCTATTGTGTTTATTAACACCATTTCTATCCTCCAATATTACCCGATTGCTACATCGAGAAGAAAAAGTAAATAAGATTTCGAATAATTGAAAAAGTTCATAGATATCGAATGGACAATATATATGTTTTCTTGGAAAAAAATATTTTACTGATATCTAAATTAAATTCATTAAAATAATGTGTATCTCACAAAAAATGGGAAAAGTCAGATCTTTTTTCTTTCTCTTCTTATTTTTCTCTTTTTTTTTAACAATCTTGATACAATAAGTTTAGCCGCAATTTTATTTCAGCAAAGGATGTAGTGGATCTAATTGAAGCCACAAGGATGCATGAGCAACTTTACGGAGTAACGACGACACAAAATCGTTGTGGAGATGGCATGATCGCATATGACATTACGGAAAACGCGATGTTGATGGTTCATACTAATACACTATTTCCGTCCGGCATACCGCAGGATTTTTCCATTTTGGTCGTCGCAAAGCCAAAAGCTAGTGAGTCTAAGCTTGTAGAAAACTGTATAATTAAGACGCACTTTTACATCAATATTTCTGTTTTAATAAAGGCGTTTTTAATTATATCACTATTGTTAATTATAACTTAACCAAAAGTTAATATAAAATTAGTCAAAGTTTTTATTTATAAAAGAGATAATAATTTAAGGAATTTAAAATAAATATTTATGATTTCAAAAATTAGAAAAAACAGATTCAATATTCCATTATATGTATAACAGATTATTGTTTCATTCATCTGTTTTTGCAAATCCAATTAAACTTCGATAGCTTGGAGAAATATTTCTTGAATTTCGATATTTATTTAAGCGGCTGTCGAAGCTTGTTATATGAAAATTTCACAAAAATGATCATTTTTATTATGTAAATAGAATTTGTTTAAAATTATTGACTGTAGATTACTCGATGCCGATACTCTTTACTATCTATGGCGATATTGGCGAAGAACAACTGGTTCTTTCATTGGGGCGCAATATCAGCTTTCTCTACAATACAAATGCGGAGGAAAAGGACGATGCAATTTCATTCGGCGTCGATATCTCCGATGGGGAATGGCATCGGTTAGGAATTAGTATTAAGGGTGACGCCGTTACCATTATTCTCGATTGTGATAGACATATCACGAAGAAGCTGCAAAGAAGTCGCGAAAAAACAATCACCGGCATCTTCATGATTGGGCAGCTTAGTGGTGGTTTATATCTGGTGAGAAAAAAATTCGCGATGATAATACAAAATAAGATATTGTTTTTAATAGAGAATTCATTTTTTATAAAATTTTTCTTTTGAAAGGAAAAAGCTGTAATCGTGAAACGGTAAAAATTAAAATTACGACATTATTGTATACATATATTTTACGTTCTTTTAGGGAAGTCTCGAGATGCTGAAGATCGCTCCAAATCCAGACGCTGCTTATGAGATCTGCACGGTATTTGCGCCAGACTGTAAACATCAATTAAAAGACAGGCTGAATTATAATGCATCATCGAGTGGGAATGAAGATGATGACGAAAAAGGGAACGAGAATGACTCGAACACAGATGATTTAACTAACACATTAAGCTCAACTATTAATATTTCCGTAAGAATAAATATTAAACAAATAAAATTAATATTTTTAAAAAGTAACATGAATGAAGAAAATTTATGATAATTTTACACACAAGATAGAGACAGATAAACTATCATTATCCATTTTCTAGCTTTATATAACACTTACACACACATATACACACATACAGAATGTGTGTCCCATTTTATATCTCATTGTCAGTAAAATATCTAGAAAATCGAACAATGTAAAAAAAAAATTTTAGACAAAATATGATTATCAACTTCAAAAATTAGTAGTTTTAAGATATTATATTATATATTTATAAGATTTATAATAGAACTTTATTCTTTATTGATACTAATATTGAATATTTCAGACGTTTTACGAAGCAGAAATGATGAGGAGTGCAAGTATGTATGAAACGGAATCAAATAATCAACAATATTACGGCGAGTCGACAATTGATCCTTACAACGAAGAATACATACGTACTTTTTCAATGCATCCTAATAAAATGTATTATAATGCTCGAGGTCCACCAGGTCCTCGTGGATTTCCGGGACCGCCAGGAATACCAGGATCTCCAGGCAAGAAAGGCGAATTCGGTAGAGATGGATTGGCTGGATTGCCGGGTGTAGTCGGTCCACCGGGTAACGTTTTTGTAATACCCTTGTTAAGTCAACAGAGCAACGAAAAGGGACCAGACTCCCAAGTAGAACTGATAAACCAGATATTATCGCAACACATGCTTGCAATGAGAGGTATAGAGGGACCGATGGGACTCACGGGCATCCCGGGACCGGATGGACTTCCTGGACCTCAAGGTGAAAAGGGAGAACTCGGTGATATTGGTGAACCTGGAACTAGAGGGGAGAGAGGTATGAAATAGCAATTCTGGTGTAATTTTTATAAAAAATCGACGAGCTTGATCAAACGCGCTTGATAAAAGTTTATTTTTGATAAAAATTATTCTAAAGTTATCAATTTCTAATTTTTATTATCAAGAAATTAGAGAACAACATTTTTAATTTGTTCTATTTTTTCGATTTACTTTAATTCCTAATTTTTAAGATTAAAAAATCGAATTTGTAAAATAAATTCCTTGCTATTCCTTTTAAGCTGTTTATTTTTTGTTAGTATAAAAGTAACTTTTTTCGTAGGAAGTCCCGGAGATTCTGGCAGAGAAGGCAGGAGGGGTCGTCCTGGCAGAGACGGTGAGCGCGGTCTTACTGGACCTCCGGGAATGAAGGGCGAGCAAGGACTGATAGGATTACCAGGCTTACCGGGTGATAAAGGCGAACGGGGACCTTCAGGGATACCCGGCGAACCGGGTCTGTCGGGTCACGAAGGGATGCAGGGCGAGGATGGTCCTCCTGGTCTACCGGGTCTACCTGGTGAATTGGTAAAGTATATTAAAATCATTATTATAACATATATATATATATATATATATATATTCCC